ATGTAAAGACAGCTTTCTTAAATGGAGATTTAGATGAAGAAATCTATATGGAGCAACCCGAGGGGTTTTCAGCTCCAGGAAAAAGTAAGAAAGTCTGTAAGCTTGTCAAGTCATTGTATGGTTTGAAGCAAGCTCCCAACAATGGCATGAGAAGTTTGACAATGCTATGTTGTCAAATGGGTTTCGAATCAATGAGTGTGATAAGTGTGTATATGTTAAAGACACTAACATAGGTTATGTCATTTTGTGTCTATACATCGATGACATACTCATTGTTGGTAGCAATGATGAAATGATTAAAGTTGCCAAAAGATTGTTAAACTCTAAGTTTGACATGAAGGATATGGATCACCAGAACATCTGGTGGTATTGTACTTTCTCAAGCTCATTATGTTAATAAGATACTTGAGAAATTTGGAAAGTCAGATACAAGTATGTTTAGGACACCGGTAGACTTAAGTCTATATTTGACCAAGAATAATGGTGAGAGTGTCTCTCAACTAGAATATTCTCGGGTCATTGGGAGTTTGATGTATCTGATGAGTTGTACAAGGCCGGATATCGCCTACGCTGTTAGTAGGTTGAGTAAATACACGAGTTATCCTAATGCTACTCATTAGAAGGGCATTATGCGGGTGTTGGGGTATATCCGTTACACCCTGTATTATGGGCTGCATTATACCAGATACCCAGCGGTACTAGAAGGGTATAGTGATACAAATTGGATATCTGATATAAAAGATTCCAGATCCACTAGTGGTTATGTGTTTACCCTCAGAGGGGCGGCCGTGTCTTGGAAATCTGCCAAGAAAACGTGTATCTCGAGATCAACGATGGAATCTGAGTTTATTGCTTTAGATAAAGAAACTGAAGAAGCTGAATGGCTTTGCCAGTTTGTTGAGGATATTCCACGTTGGCCGAAACCTGTGCCAGCTATCAGTATTCATTGCGATAGCCAATCAGCGATTGGTCAGGCACAGAGTAATATGCATAATGGAAAGTCTAGACATATCCGTCGTAGACATAATTCCATACGACAACTACTCTCAAATGGAGTTGTCTCTCTAGACTATGTCAAGTCTAAGGACAACATTACGGATCCGCTAACCAAAGGGTTAATTCGAGAGTTAGTAGAAAAGTCGTCAAGAGGAATGGGGTTAAGGCCTTTAGTAAAGGTTACCGGAACGGAAAACCCAACCTAGTTGACTGGAGATCCCAAGATCTAGGTTCAAAGGGACAACCTAACTTCGTGTAACGGGTGAGTCATTGAAGAGGTAAATCCTCTTACCCATTCCTTTATACAGTGATGCCCTATGGGGGTAGAAGGTTAAGCTAATGCTTTTAATGACCTTAGTGGTGTGGTATAATGAAATACCGTATCTAGGTCACCTATGTGAGTGCGAAGTGAGGCCGTTTCTTTAAGAATTGCCAAGGCCGAATTCTTTAAAAACACTCACAAAACCAGGCTAGTGTTCCAGGGCCATACCGGACACACCAGTGAGAACAAGAACAATGGTTGGACTAACTCCTATGTGAGGTCTATTGTCTCGGTTTACATAAACGGCAGAACAGTTCAAGACATCACGTTTACTGGTCAGCCAGTAAATCCGATAGGCTTTCACTACGAAAGGTTCAAGGCCAACAGCTACCTTTTCTGATGCAGGGTTAGTCTATGTACTCTCTCTCTTTCCGAGTCTTTGTTGATAAACGTTGAGCGTTTGCTGTATTCGGTCAAATTTTATTCATGTGGGGGATTGTTGGAGAAAAATGGTTGAATAAGAAATTGCCTCATAAATGTGTATATAACTCACACATTTAAGGCTCATCAGTTTTACAAAATTGATTGGGCAGTTTTGCTAGCATTAGTTGCCAGCCTTGATGGCTAGAGGCTCATCCCCTCTCCCCCATGGTGTATAAAAGGAGGCCCTATTCTTTGAAAAGAGATATAGAATTTTTCCTTGACATCCACACACTATCAGTCTACTTCTCCTATAATTTTATTCCTGAGAGAGAGTGCTGCCGTTGTCCGTTCGCTAAGCTAATCAGAAGGTGCTTCTGTTGTAGCTGGTAAAAATTGTCGTATCCTAGGAAGTAGACGCCGGCATACCTCCAGCACCCGACGGTGAGACAGCGAATCTATTTTAAGGAAACTGTGGTATCACACATGCTTTGGTTTGCTTCCTTTAACCATTTTATATTTTATCTGTATTTTATTCAGCATGTTATTTTTCCTAGGATTGAAGGTTTGTTTTGTTCATCTCAGAATTTTGCGATATGCAATGTGAAATTATGTAATGTGAGTAGTTTTTCCCAACAGTACTTTTCCCAGTCTCCAACCTTGGCAAAGTCTTCAAGTTGTTTCGAGAGGTCCTTTAGACTTACGTCCACTACACTCACTTGTACAACCCCTTCTCCTTTTCCTTCCACGCTCGCTCACACTCCTCTGAATAGTTTAGAGGAGTCTCTCCTAGAATTTAAAGGCAAGAACTTAAAATATTATTGTCAAGAATATATGTACTCTCTTTCTCTAATTGCTAAATAAATTTGGAAAAAATGAATGGCTTAAAGTGAGAATAGAAAATGCCTTGCCCAAGAAAAATATTTTGTACATGAGATTCCTCTCAATCCCTTCCATTCCGACCATGCAAAATGGCCAACTTCACTACCTTACATCAATTGAAGAATATTCCACTTTCAGATGTCTTTTAGGAGCTCATAGGCCAAGAAATCCCAACCCCTTCACCCAACCTCATGGTCTTTGCTTGAACTTGAACTCCCCACCCTATCCTATATAAAGCGGGTGTTTGGGAAGTTGATATTTTAGTAGGTTTTTTTAGGTTTTGATTATTTTGGGAGAAAATTTTGTAGTTAGATGTGATGTTTGTAAGAGAAAAAGTAAAATAATTATGAATTTAATGTGATATTTTATTTGAATTTGTTTTTATTTTTATTTTTATTCTATTTTGTCTTTTAGCAAAAAACTAACAAAAAAACTCAAAAAAACTCTTTCCAAACACCGCTGAGTGTTGAGGTGATCTCACTTGAGTATCAGACCATTACATTTAGCCGTGTCTACTATTGAATGTAAAAATTCTAATTGTTTATACTTCAAACAACGTCATGCAATGGGCCAAAGAAGAGCAACAACCCCTAAAATATTTGAAACCCCATTACTATAGTAGTATTGGTTTAAAATGTTTTAAAATTATAAAAGTTCATCTTTGTCAATTTTTTTTTTTTGAAAATTTATTTTCATTATCCTCAAGATTTTCTTTTGAAAAATATCTATGCTATCGGAGGTCTTAGGTCTCGTTTGGAAATATACTATTTTAGTACTTTTTGTTTTTTTTATGAAAATATTATAGAAAAGTAGAAAAATTGATGTGACAACTTATAGTGATTTTTTGACTAAAATATGTAGTTGACAAATGAGGTCTAAGTATACAACTATTTTTTATGTTGCATACATATAAAACTTAACCTAATTTATATGAGTTAATTTTTTATTTTTTTTTAGTCTTCTACAGCTATAAAATAAAGGGGAACTTACCAATAAGTTCCATATACAAGGTTTAAGACCCATTTAATTCTCAGACAAAACACTTGCACCAATTAGTCCTACATATTTTTAATTGTTACCAAAAAATCCTTTTTTTTTTTTTTTTAAATTTACAGATACTGTTACATCCTACTACCATCGGACTTCCATCAAACGGTCACTGGAGACTTGTCGAAATGTTCAACATCATCAAAAAGTCGTCGGAGTATCGTCGGGAAGTCACTGGAGGATTGCCGGAAAAAAAAAGAATAAATGGAGAAATTAGAGCGAAAAAGTATAGCAAAATGTGCTAAATATTGATAAACTAAAAGAAAAAAAATAGAACGACAAAAAACAGCAACAATGGGAAAAACATATACTATTTTTCAATTTTTGTAAGGTTTAAGCAAATAATCTCCAATATTGATCAAACTGAAAAGTAAGTTTTGAAACTGTTAAATGTTACAGTTTCAAAGCAAAAATCTATTAAGCATTTATCTTTATTAATCAAACTGAAAAACATGTTATGAAACTGTAAAATTTTACAATTTTATATCATGATTCATTTCAGCACTAAAAAAATTTGAAACTGCAAAATTTTACAGTTTTCACCGCGTGTAACTAAAACTCGAAAATAACTTGTTCAGAACTTGAAAATTTTCTCCATTAAAACAGAAAAAGAGAAGTGTATAGTAGAGAAAATGTTGAAAAAAATAAGAGATCGAAGGAGAAAGGCGGATATAGAGAGATGATTGTACTCCGGCAACTATTTTTTGTTTAGATCTAACCAAATCTAATGTAGATCTACTCAGATTTGATGTAGATCTACATCAGATCTAAGTAGATCTACTCATCTTCTTCGTCGGAAATATATCTTCTTTACTGTCGGTGAGAGTGCAGTAAGGAGTCGGCAATCGGTGGTTGCCGGTAAATCCTAATCGATGGCAGTCGTTGATTGCCGGTGACTATATATCGAAAGAGAAAGAGAAGAAGCAAGATATGATCACCCGTCAACGATCGTCGGAAATCACAAAGAGCAAAAGAGGCAGAGAAGAAGAATAACATTATAGGATTTTTGGGTATAAATAAAAAGTTATGGGATTAAATAGATTACACGTTTTTCAAAAAAAATTTATTGATAATTTTTCCTAAAATAAATTTAACCATTTAAATAATTATTTAAATTTGGGCCTCACAAAAATCATATGGTGAATGATTATGGTTCTTCTAATATATGCTTGAACTTAAATCCTAAAGAGAAGTATACATATACATATTATAATTTTTATTATTTTTATTATTCTAATTTATTATGTATTTAATAATATAAAATTGACATTAATTAATAATTTATATATGACTAGGGTAGGCTAAAATCTTAGCCAAGCTTGATTTTATGGACTGGGCTGCGCTGTAATCGGGCCAATGATATTAGATCCAAACCCGACTCCGTACCAGAATCTGAAAATCACGAACTAACCCTAGATCGCACGGTCCAGAAGGCCCTATAAAATCATCTCAAAACCCTAGCTGACCCAATTCTTCACTTATCTCTCTCTACTACATCTCTCTGGTGTTCACGAAACCCTAGGGCAAAATGGTGAGTCTTTATCCGCGATCTATGTAGCTTTTGGTTGTTCTTGATCTTATTTGTTTGTGCTATTCAACTACGAATCTTAGGCTTTAATGAATTTGATTTATGTGTGTAGCCTTTCAAGCGTTACGTCGAGATCGGAAGGGTTGCTCTCGTGAACTACGGCAAGGACTATGGGAAGCTCGTCGTCATCGTCGATGTCCTCGATCAGAACCGAGTAATGTTTCTCTCTTATTTGTCCTTCGTGTTTGCTTTCTGAGAAAACTCGGGAAAATGGAAGAAATTTATTCGATCTCGTGTTTTTTAACTTGTGAAAACTCAATTATAGCAGTTTAAAGGTGGGTTGTTTTGGTATATTGTATCATTGGGCTGCGAAAGTAAACATTTTTATCATTAAGATTGAGTTCGTAAAATTTTCATAGGTCTGCCTAAGAAGATATAAGGTTTGGTAATGGTTTCATTGTTTCAGCTCAAGAGACGGTTTTGTTTCAATAATCTGGATGTGAGATACCCAGTTTTGACAAAACAAGTGACATTTTTACCATGTGAGTAACATTACAAGGAAAAAAAAAAAAGACATTTTGACACTATAACATGCCAAATTATAGGTTTGCATTGTCATTTTGACAAAGACCGGTGTAATTGCTACATGTTATTATGTGAACCCTCCAATAGGGTTAGTTAAAGGTTACCCACTAAAGTGGGTCTTACAAGCAACCATAAGGTGGTTTAATTAAAGATGAGAGAGGTATGAGGCACATTCAAGCATTTCCATTGGAGATGTTATGTAGGGTGTTAGCGGAAGTGTTGGAGATGTTAAGTTGTGTGTAAGTATGTGTCAGTTAAAGTATGTTAAGAGCTCAAATGGACATGTAATGGCTTGCTAATAGCATATTTAGTGGAGTGGCTAATAATACAGGTGTTAAAGTGTCCACATAGGCAAAAGTGAGGCCCAATTTCAGGTGTTAAGTGCTAATTACCAAACACATGCACTGAGTGCTCCAATAGACTAACTAAAAAAAACTCACTAAACATTAGGTCCTATTGCAACTCATTGCAATGCTCATGTTTTTTTTTTTTTTTAAATAAAAAAATAAAAAAATAAAAAAAAGAGATATGGTTGATATGGCTAGCTAAAGTGCTAGGCACAGTTAGCAAATAAGGTAGCATTTGGTAACTTTGAGTTGTATTTTAGTAGATTCAATGGAACACAAGAAATTGCATCTTAGTTGATAACTGTGTAGTGTATGACAAGAGGTGCTTAGCAGCTCCAATGCAGATGTTCTAACTATGGCTGTGTGTCATGTGTCAAAATGCTGGCTAACTGTGGTGAGCTATGTTACATGGACTCGGGTACGGGTGTCGGGTGCGGGTATGTATCTAGAGGTCGGACTCATCAAATCATAAATTTAAGGATACGCGGACTCGGCAAAAAAATGTCATATTTTTATATTTTTAATCTAATATGTGAGATAAAATGGTATTATATTTAACTTATAGTGTCAAAATGACATTTATAGCAATTATACAACAATATGTACATATAATAATAGTGTTATATATAATTATATAAGAAGTATCCATTGAAAAGTATCCGACACATATCTCATACCCTTGTCCGAGTGTCGGGTGTCCGACACGGGTATTTGATTTATTTTGAAGAGTCCATGTAACATAGGTGGTGAGCAATTTAGCTGAACATGTTACACCATTATCTTTTCTTTTTTTAAAAAAAAGAAATTTAAAAAAGGGAGCATCATCGGGGCACTCATAGCATTTTGGCAATGGGTCCTACTTTTGCCCATGTGGACATCTTAACAATCTAGTTTTTAACATGCATCGAAGCTCATAAAAGCTCACCCACTAAATGATGACTCGATGCTAATATCTCTCTAAGAGCATCTCCATGGGCATGCTATAACAGCTGTCAAAGTTTAAATTGTAATTAGATCTCAAAAAATTTGCTCTAGTGGTCTGCCATCCCTTATGCCAAAAAAAGGCAATGCCAAACCTATCAACAAATATTGTGGGTGTTTGGGAAGTAAGTTTTTTTAGTTGTACGATATTATTGGAGGAATTTTTTTTTGTGTTTGGGAAAATAGTTGGGTTTTTTTGTGGTTGGATGTGATGTTTGTGAGAGAAAAAGTAAAATGATTATGGGGTTTGATGTGATATTTTGTTTGGATTTGGTTTTTTTTGGTTTTGTAAAACATTTGTCTTGTAGTGAAAAAAATAAAAAAAAAATCCGAAAACTAAGTTGCCAAACGCCGCCATTGTATCCCCACCCTTCTTATCATCTTCCTCAACTCAACAAAGACATATATCACAACCAAAAATAGAATTAGACATAAATAATAAAAAAAAGAAATCCCATTCAAAAAAAATAACCAAATGTTAAACTGCTTAAATTACAAAAATAAAATTACCAAAAAGAGGAAATGGTAGTTAAGATTACAATAGACTTTGGATTACAATATAAAATGACAATCACATTGGACCATATCAAATGACTACAGATTGTGTGAAAAGGGGAAATGATAGTTAAAGAATGGTCGTTTGAAAAAGAGGGAATATGTCATTTGCACCAATAGAGGAACATTGTCAAATTTTGTCATTTAGGGGTTGTTTGGGAACAACCTAAAATAGTATATGTATTATCTTTTTATCTTTTTTGGGTCACACTACCTTTCTACTTTTCTGTACATCTTTTCATAGAAAGTAAAATAGTTACTAAAATAGTCTATTCCCAAACAACCCCTTAAACATTGCAACATCTCAAATTATAGATTCGCATTGTGATTTTGGCAATAACCAGTGGAGTTGTTCTAACGTTTCCAATGCAAATGCTCTAATAGAGAATGAAGATGTTAAGGAAAGGTTAGTGGCAAAAACGTTTGTCAATTAGTGGGAGAAAGTTACTTTTGGTAACTTAGATGGATGCAATTATGGACTAATTCTCTTTTAGAACCACGGGAAGTTCTGTACTGTTTTCTTGGTTGTAGTAGATGTGTGAGGGAATTTAGTCCTAATTTTTAACTCAAGATAGATCTACAAGAGTGCATGACAATCTTTATCTTGTGTATAGTTGTAAAATGAGTAGATTTTTTGCTATCTAACATGTCATGGTTATGTATTGACTGGCATTCCATCATGATTTTCATTTCTATGCCTATTATTCTAGCGTTGACTCATGTATAATGACATCAATAACATCTTGGCTTCTCGTTGGATCCCCCCCGTTCCCTCTTCCCACTTGAAACTTTTTCTCTTCCCTTGGAGAGGGTACTTAATAATTTTATATAATGTAATCGTAGGCTCTTGTGGATGCCCCTGACATGGTGAGATGCCAAATGAATTTTAAGAGGCTCTCTCTCACAGACATCACAATTGACATCAAAAGGGTCCCAAAGAAGAAGACACTGGTTGCAGCAATGGAGGCTGCAGGTGAAACACAAACTCGAAAAAAATTCTGAAGCTCCTTTGTTTGTTTAGTATTTAGAACATCTATCAGATTAACTGTATTTCTTTGGCGGCAGATGTTAAGAACAAGTGGGAGAATAGCTCCTGGGGCAGAAAGCTGATTGTGCAAAAAAGAAGGGCTGCTCTTAATGATTTTGACAGGTTCAAGCTCATGTTGGCAAAAATCAAGGTTAGTTGATCTGATAAAAATTCTTTCAAGAATTTGTATTGCTTTTTGTTTAGCCTATATACCCTTTTTACATTTTGAACTAGCTAATAAGACAAATAAAATTGAAATGTGCAGAGGGGTGGACTGATCAGGCAAGAGCTTGCAAAGCTTAAAAAGCAGAATGCATCCTGAGCATTATGTTTGTAATGGAAAACCAATTTTGTTTTGAATTTTTGCAAGTTGTTCTGTTGGCTAGTTTACATCTGTTGCTTATTTGATCAGAATTTTGGCAAGTTGTACTTGTGTTCTATGACAGACTCCCCAATCAAATTTTTTTTTGGGAAAGATTTCTTGTTTGGTTTGTTTTGGTTTTTAATTTGTCCTTAATGGACTGCTTTACTACTAGGATGACACATTGCTGGGGATATACCACTTCATTCACATCCAACCACCTCCATGATCCCTCCCTCCCTCCCTCATCACTGCCAACACCTGGCAGCTTCCCTTACACACCTTCACAGAACCACCATCCCATTCCCTACAAGTTCCCTTGCCGCCCAAGGCCCCCAACACTGAGTGCCTCAGCCATCCTAAGCAACCTCCCTCTGTGACACCTAGTGCCCCTACCAATGAACCCTTCCACCACCCACTGCAACTTCTCTATCATCGTCCTGCCACTCCCTCCACCTTTGCCCTCTACCTCACATGCTCTACCGTGAAACTCCTCCATGTCAATATTTTGTTTTTGTTGATTAAATATCAATATATTTGTAAATAGAAGGCTTTATGATTATATCAGGATACAAGTATTATTATTAAATCGGTCCAAAACCTTGCTAATCGATCTATTTTGAATTGTAATTGTTTTATGGTATAAATGGTAAAAATATAATTTTAGTACACATATGTATTTCATGTGGACTGTCTCTGGTTAACCACATGGGAATTAGCCATTGGAGTTCCACCTGGAGATTGGAGTTCCAGTTAATAGAATAGAATACAAGGTATTCAATGTTCATGAGGCAATGCCCTGACTCTCCGGGAGCCATTGATTCACATAGGGTCTGTTGTTTTGTAGCCCGCAACAAAGCAGATGGACAAGAGTTCATGTAACTGCCAGTATAGCACAATGACAACAGAGAATTCATATAGCCAACTCCATCCAACTCCATCTGATAGGATTAACTAGGGATTCAAGCAATAGCACATGGCCCCAAGCTGAGTTTTTCAACCAAACCCAATTAAGGCTTTTTTTTTTTTTGGTATAATTTTATTTACAGATTTTTTTAAGTTGAGGCATTAGTAAGTATGGGCAGGCCTTTGCTTGTTACCGTTATTAGTGATTCATACTGACATTATAGGTCAACAATAATATTTGGGAGTTTTAATTTAAGAACTTTAATAGAGATCTAATAGCGAGTCTCACATAGTGAGTCTCACGTGATAATGATAATGTGATGTTTTGACTTGCTTTTTTTCTTTTTCTTTTTCTTTTTGTTTTTATTTGACACCTCACTAGAGCTCTCATGTTAGAGCTCTAGTATTAAAACTCTTTATCACTACCCGTTAGGTCAAAGGGCACACAAGGCAGAAAAGCCACCTTACAAGATTAAAACAAAAACAACAATTTTGCAAGGTTCTAACAGTAAAATTCCTAGAGCAAAATCAACATTACATTACACTAAAGAGTTGAGACTTATATGATGATATCCATGCATCTTCAAGTAGACAGGTCCAGCTGGGGCATACCCTCGCAAAGAATAAATCTACTTTGTGGGATCAATATGTGTAAAAGTTCACTCATTCATAATCATTCTATAGTATTCATTTGTCATGGAAGTTAACCCAACTTCAGGATAGAGCTTTTGCAATAATCTGTGAATCTGAGTTTTCAAACGCCTTCTTTCATCTGGGTGACTCCATAGAACATGGAGAACATCTGCAGGGAAGACCGGTGCTGGTTGAGCAATCCATTGGCTACCGTCCATTTGCAATCCATTTAATCTGAATATTGAAATACAAGCATATAAGTTATAAGTTTAATGCACAACGACAATGAAAAATCCTTCAAAACATGCATGTACTCACTCATTAAGAATCTTTAACATGTTTGGCCATTCGGCTATCTTGAAATGCACATCCACAACACCCCCGGTTCTCCAAGATACAGAGTTGACCTGCCCATAAGTCTCGCACATAGAGGGGATTTTCTTTTTCGGATGCTCCATGCCTAGGGTTGACATTCTCACCACTGTTGTTCTTGGTGCATCAATCCTGAAGATTAATAGCTTCTTGCCGGACACATTAATTGAATGCTTTTCAAGTGCCCTTTCTTTGGCTTCTTCTGTCTGTCAAGCAACATTTGCAGGCATAAATGACGAATAAAGATGTCCAAACTTTTCTCTCTACACATTCGAAAGTGTTCTTCAAGCAAATTCAAGCATGAATGATGATGATTTTATTGGACATCTATTTATTTTTTCGAAAAATCTACAGCATGTACCTCTAAAAAGATACACGTCATAAGAAAGTTACGAGTTTTTGCAATAACAGTTATGAATAATGAATTTATAATGTGTCTCCAAAGTTACAAATGACAAAATTATGACGCTGAGTGGTTTTTGTTATAACATTTTGTGAAGAGAACAGTTATGACATTTTATGGTTTACAATACGAAATTTAAGGAATTTTTTGGAAAAGTTACAAAGGGCAAGGGTGAATATTTTCCCCTGTAGTACCACTTCTTAGAGCATGTTACATACAACGTTTCTGTACCAGTTTCATGTACCGGAACGATTCACATTCTAGGTAACATTCTAGGTAACATAGTTTCAAGGAGACGGAGCCAAGTATCAAATATGACTATTTACAGCAAGTTGAGGAAAAAAAACTCACCTCGAATTCCATGTAAGTAGTAGAACTTGAAGAACCAAAGAAAAATCCAGATACATTGCTCCCACAGAAGGCAAGAGCTTTTTTAATCTCATGTGAGCTCATGTCAGGAGTCAACTCTTTGATCATCACTGTTCGCGTCGGATTCTTCACCAATGAGGCAGGAACATCAGGATCACCAATCAAGTCAGGAATTAAAGTTCTATTAGGCATGTTCTCAGTGGAACAAGTTGCTTCAACAACAACAGTTTTATTCTTAACAATCAGATCAGATTTTTCAAGAGCTTTCTGCATCCCTTCCTTCGTCTGCAAAAGAACAAAGGTTAGAAACATTGAGTGAATAACCGAATTCCCATAATAATGCAAAGAGATCCATGATTCATAAATCTATAGCCTATTCAATTGAATTAATGAAAAATATGTGTTTTTCATCCCACCCATGTAGCATGGGTATATTAATGACCCTTCTTCCCTTATAATCTCTTGTAAATTATCATTCCTTAAAATTTTCCCCACCACCATGAATGTGTCAAAATTTTCCCCGCCACTATGAATGTGAACTTTGACAACCAGTTAGTCAATAATCAAAGAGAACTAAATTCTTGAACTTAAAGTAAATCAATATGGACCTTAAAGTAAATGCAAGCAATTTTCAATGAGCTTCTTGTAGGATGAAATTTAATCTTCGTAATGCACCCACAATCCTTGAATATTGAACCTATATCACTCTTTTCAGCATCTTTATGCAAGAACCTCACTAATACTTTGTTTTGATCAGACCCTTTTGCAGCCAAAAATTCATTTTGAGTCTTGTTTAAGTCATCTTTGCTCATTGGACATAAAACCTGTGGGCTTGGTTTTGACTTCATGCAATCAAAGGATGCAATATCTGCATCACTTCCTTCCCCATCCTCGCTCCTAGAATTTGTACTAAATACTTCGAAGCGAGCCCCTGTTCTTGAATCACCCTCACTTTTGCTGAAGTTGTTGGTCTCCAAATGAATATCGTGGCCATTCAATGAAGTCTTTCTTTCCTTATTGTCAGACCTTTGCAAATTAGCCTCAGGTTGCATCCCTCTAATCACACTTTTGTTGCTGGTTTGATCAGTCTGATTGGACATAATATTGCCATGAGATCTCATATTTCGTTGCTCTCTAGGTAGGTCCTTGATGCAGTCAATTAAACTCATTATATGAGAACTTGTTTCCTTACCCTTTCCTGTTGGGTCATTTGAATATTCAGAACTATTGGGTGCCACAATGTCGTTCTTTTCACCAGTCATCTCGCCTGTTGCTCGGTCATTCATTGCCCTTATGAAAAGGTCCGCTAACCTGGAAATCTTTTGGGTGCCAGAAAATGATAGAGGAGGCTTACTTCCCATTTCAGAGCCTGAATTTGGTCTAAAGCCAGAAGTCATCATTTCAGTTTCAGGTTGATGGTTTCGGTGTCTAGTAGTGGCCGATTCATTCAAAGTAACATGCGATGTTACTTTGTTTGAGACTGCTCTTTGTGGTTTCATAAGCCCATTCTCTGACTCTACCATCTTTGAACTGTCTGAAGTGTTATTTGATCGAACCAGGTCCTCAGAAGAGTTTTCACTGACAATATGAGATGTTGAAATACATTTCTCATCATCATGAGAAACCACTTCAGCTTCAGGTAACCGAGCTGTACATGCAGGTTCAGCAACCTTGATACAATCTGGAGAATTATGCATCTTAATAACCTTGAAAACTACTAGATTGCCAGAGTCTGCAGAACATTCCTCTGATATGTGAGATGTTGAATCGGTAGTTTTGTTCTCGTTATCGTCCGAATCCACTGAGGATTTCGATGATCGAGCTATACTTACAGGTCCACTAAGTTCAATACTATCAGTATTATCTGTATTACTGCATGCTTGAACAATCTCAGAAGCTGTTGCATTCATCATATTCGTAGATGACATACAGGACATTGCAGTTGATGAAATGTTGTCCTGATTAAATTTAGAACTCATCAGTGTATTTTTGGCCTCATCAAGTTCTCTAAGATTTTTATTATTATGAGTTGTAATAACCTCCGAAACTGTTGCATCAACTGTAGAATCTGATGCATCATGGGTAGCATGATTCTGAAGTAGAGGATTTCGCGACATCTTTTCCTTTAGGTTGGAAAGAATGTCTTTCAATGTGTACCATGATCCTCCCACTTTGTTCTGGACTTGTGTTGCTTTAGGGAAGGTCCCTGGATGTGTTTCCATATATCTGTAAATTCAAAAAACACAATATAAAGGGTTCAGAGAGCATATACTTAAAAACAATTGGTTTCAGATATGGCTCCAGTTGCAACTATGAGAAATGTTGCAAACACCCATCTGGGCGCTTTCTCACCCACAAGAACACACAGCCATGCAGATAGTCAATACTTGTATACAAACACCTCAACTGACCTTTTAAACAGTTGAACCAACTGAATGCTGAGATATCAAGAGGAGAGGCATTCATGATGCCTCTTGTGAAAGTTTGCAAATGGGAAAATCATGCTAAATACTGATCAATTGCAAAGTGAAAGATCACTAAAGCTGGGTAGCATAGACATAAAATGAGGCATGGACACACAACACAACAAAGATACATAGATACGAACATAAAACAAAAAAAGCTTATCAAAGGGGGAAAAAATGTGAAAACAAGAAAATGAAAAATGAAAAAAACGACATGAACAAGCCAAGAATGTTGAGATACAAATATCATACTTATTTTGTTTTATTCATAGTGACATTAACCTTATATCAACTTTATAAAAAAAATATTTACCTTGTATTAAATTGTGTATACTGCATTGTGTGTCCATTCATTTTCAAGATCATTAGAAATGGCCATGATTTTGTGTCAGCCAAGTGTTTAATGCTGTATTTTGTACCAAGAAAAATAAAATAAAATTGGAGAGATGGAGAAATGGGAGGGGTAGAGGAAGTATTCCTAGGGAATGGAAGGTGATTTATGTTCTTTATGTTGGGTTGAATTGACGGAGCAGAGGAGGAAGGAAAGCATTAAGCAACTTCACAATTAAGCCTTCACATAATAAGGAATAATCAAATTTTTAAGAAAAAGTGTAAAAATGCTGTTGAGAGAATGTGAGAGTTCTTCCCCTCCTATCTTCCACCCATTTTTTGGGCAGACGACAATTGTGTACCTGAAGGATGTATTCTCCACTACCTTTCCAATCCCTTCTCCCATCCTCCCCAACTAAAACGAAAAATCCCATCATCCCTCCCCTCTGCTTCTTGCCATTCTTCCTATGTACCAAACACTGGCTAAGACAATGAAACTTAATTTCAAATAATGGACTCATCCAACATGTGTTGGGCGCATTTCTCAAGGAATCCAATATTTTGACTGACAATGCTCCTCTATGGAAGTAACCCTGTTGACTGAATCAAACCAATTAGATCAATAGCAAAGCAATTGAAAACCATACTTATATAGTGATTTGAGTTTTAAATGCATTGATGTGCGAGCGACAATAAGACAAAATCCCATCCCAAACAATTCAAAAGTAATTAGTTATTTGTATAGTGGCATTCCAGTATTCTTACAAATTAGGGTTATTTATTTCATTATATATATATATTTAAATCCTTCTTAGTTAAGGTTTCTATGTTCTTTAGATTCTAGTTTGGTGAGAGTTTCCTATTTTTTTAAGATTTTTACTTTAAGTTGTTGGTTATGAGTCTATTCTTAAGCTACAATCCAACGTGTTACTTGTTTAGAAACTGCCTATTTTGCAGGAGTTGGTATCCATTATGGTTTCTATGCTACAACTTTAAGAAAGTTTCTTCTCATCTGTAGAGTTCATTAAATATATACATAATGGGCCCCTTGCAATAACAGGAAACTAGAGTTGAAATCTTCCAGGCCACCACTTTTTCCTTGCAGTCAAGCCCTAAAATACAAAAATACCTGCATCATACACATTTTAAGAAAATGGTATTCCATTCTAATATGCTACATTAGTAATCCAATTTTTTTTCCCCTATTTCTTCCCCCAATGTCATACATTTTAAGAGGTAAAATAAATAATTCTAACATATTAATCTAAAAGCCAATGGATAGTTTGGCAGGAGTAGATTGCAAAAGGGACAAAGCACGGAAATAGACTTGGTTGTCCATTTTTACATGATTTACTCTAATATAAGAAAGAAAATTCTAAATGTAGATAGATAACTCAAGTATTTCAATAACCGTCTAATTAATAATCAATTTTAGAAAGAACTAAAAGTACCTCAACATGTATTAAATTAAGGGCAAATTACATATACACCCCTCCAGGTTTGACAAAATTACAGATACCCCCTGAGGTTTGAGAAATTACGAATTCCCCCTGAATGCTATATTTGCATAAGAAATTAGGGGGTAATTTGTTATGAAATATAAACCTCAGGGGGTAAATTGTTATGAAAATACAAACCGCAGGCATTCAGGGGGAATTCGTAATTTCTCAAACCTCAGGGGGTATCTGTAATTTTGTCAAACCTGGAGGGGTGTATATGTAATTTGCCCTTAAATTTAATATTTAACTATGTGGTCAACATAGCCCCACCCATATCATAGAGTATAATGGGTACAGAGTTTTAGTTCACGTTCCATGTGCCAAAACAATCCTACTTCCAGAAAAGATTGCATCACTTTTTAGAGCTAACAAAATATATACAAACATGTCGAACATATATCTAAGTTGGATCCTGGAAAACAGAACGCATTTTTCAAAAATATAATATATATATATATATATTCAAGGTATTTAAGAGCATATTACAAGAAGTGATCAATAGAGAAATGACAAATTCCTTTATATGGATTCAAATTAAAACACCCACTACTTATTTTTCAGCAAATTCAATTTTCTTATCATTTAGGCTGTGTTTGGATCTTATATTCCTGAACAAATCCACGATCCAAACACAACCTTAAACTTGAAGCAATTGATAAAAACACAAACCTAACTAAATTCAATAGAGATTATGGTCAAGGGTTTTGAAAAGAAACTCACTCCTTCACGAATGATTCAACAGCGACAGTCTTCTGTTCCTTGGCCGCACTGGGTTTCTTGGACTGCGATGACTTCTGGGCATCGCCATTATTGGAAGAGGTGGAGCAAAACCACCTTGTTGGGCTGACAAGTCCTACAAATAGAATCAAAACCCACTGTAATTCGAAACACGAAAAGAGGTGGTTTTTCAAAAACAACACCAACATTTGGGTGTGGTGCGGAAACAAATGATTGTTTTGTGTGAGATTGGGGTTTACCTACTCTTTGCAAATGAAGTCCTGATTTTGCTTGAAGGAGGCGAGAGACTGCCATTCTCTCTCTCTCTGTGTGTGTGTGTGTGTGTGTGACAGTCGTGACTGTGGTGGGAGCAGAGAGAGGAAGAAGAGGGTTTTAGGGAGGTTTAGGGGAAAATGGTTGTTATTGCTTAGTGTACTTTTTTATTGGTTTTTTATTTGTTTATTTATTTTAATAGTGTTTTGCCCTTTTTAAGGTTGGTTTGGAAAGAGTTACATTAATTAAAAAGTTTTAAAAAATATTAAAAATTAAGAATATTTTAACTTATTAAAAAGTTAAAAATAATTTTTCCTTTCATTTTTTTTTTCACTTTCTTTTATAGAAAGATTCTTTCCAAATATAGTATTTTTTAATCTTATATTTTAATAAAAAAAATACTAAAATGTCAATTTTCAAATGAGTTCTTAATTGGGGTATTTTTTTTAAGGTCCCTGATATTATGATTTTATATTATAAAGGACATCAAATATTTTCCTGATGTCTAAGGTCCCTCAACATCAATCCAGAGAAAATTAGTCAAGAGAAAATTGGTTCAGAGAAAATTCAAGTCAGAGAAAATTTAAGTCAGAGAAAATTGGTCCTTAGCCTGTCATGGACAGTGCCAGAGAAATTTCCTTACCCTTTCATGGACTCCAGAGAAATTTCAAATTTCTCTGCCGTGAGTTTGATCCTCCACCATAATTGTTACTAACAGTTCGAGAAAAAACGAGATGATTCAGTTTCAATTGCTAATGTATTGCCAGTTGTGGAGTCTTATGATGAGATGAAAGATCATGATGATCATACTATTAGAAACTTTGAGTTATGGAATTTGTTCATGATGATCATGATTGCTTACCAAATTTCTCTGACTTCGTTCACTAAATTTCTCTGACTTCAGAATTTATCAACCATGAACCATTGCCTCCACTCTCACTCTCATTCACTGCCATACCCACTAAATTGATTATGACAATACCAGAACAAATTCCATAAAAACAAGCACACAAGTGTGTTTATAAAATTAGAGAGAGAGAGAGAGAACAGAGTAGTAGAGAAATCCAGAGAAGTTCTGAATTTATCTCCAAAGAAATTTTGAATTTCTCTGGAACTGATATTGATGTTTTATGGCAGGATGGGAAAATACAAAGGCTCAAGGCTTGTATGATGATGCTGAATTTTCTCTGCGTTGAACCCAGAGAAATTTGAATTTTCTCTGGGTTGGATGTGTATATAAGAACCAGTTTGTGTGCACACTTTTAAAAAAATCAAAATAGAAAGCACACCGGGATTGAAAAACCTGAAAACACACTCAGATTTCTTCTTCCAACAGTAACGAGCAGCCATTGGATTAAACTAACCAAACTCTCTCTCTCTCTGAAACAGTGATAATAGCTGATTCTTGGTTGCTCCAATGGGTTGATGATTGAGTACTGAAACAGAAATTCAATGTAACAATAGACTATACATGGAAAATTGAATGAAATAGAGAAATGAGTATTAAATATTCACTTGATAGAGAGAGATTGATTTGGTTTTGGAGCTCAAATCAATGGTACGAATCAGAGAAAGCAGAGGACGACTTGTCGGAAATGCCGTCGTGCTCCTCATCTTCACCCTAAATTCGTGCTGGAATGCAAAACCCGGAAAATCCACCGACCGAGGTGAATCCGATGCCCGGGAACGAGAATGGGTGGATGGGCTCCAGAATACCAGACATTAGTTTACAAGAATGATTGAACACTTCATAGCCTGACAAATCTCCATCGATCTGTAAATCTTAGCTGCCAAACTATGGGTGAAGATGTGCCTTTGTGATCTATATACGTTGGGGCACAATGCAATGTAGTTTGCAGATCTGCAGCAACAACAACACCACCAGTGTCCAATATCAACGCCTCTGGATCGCCGCTCCTCAGACGGCTCGGCGACGCCGTTGAAGGTCAGATCCGGTGAAGGTGGAGCTCAATCGGTTGGAGAATGAAGTCAGAGATGAGGACACAAGAGTTGATCTGGACAGGTATGAGAATGGAGAAGTTTAGAGAGAGAAAGAGAGAGATGAGTTTTGATTTGGTAAGGTCAAATTTCTCTGTGATATGTTTAGGGACCTTAGACATCAAAAAATAATTTTGTGGATCTCTCCCATTATGAAAAGTGGGAGAGGGACCCTAGACCAATTTTCCCTTCTTAATTACTATCTCTTGTCTATTATTATTATTATTATTATCATTATTACATAGAAGGTGGAGGGAGAACCATATGACCTCCGGTTGAAGTACACAAAATTTTACGATTTAGGACTGAGCAAATAATTCGTGAAATTCGTAATCTAATTCAGTCTAGTCTAATTCAGTAGATTTGGATTAATTTTTTGAATCTGTGATTCGGTTTCGAATTGAAAAATTAAAAATACGTAGTTCACGAATTGGTTCCGGATTAAACCCACGGTTCCGAATTGGAATCGATCCGGACCGTGTACAAATTATTTATATTTTTATTATACACCCTTCTACATATTATCTTCTCTTATTTTATATAAAACTTAAATCCAAACCTAAACTCGCATAATATTTTCTTTTATTACTTTTGTTTTCTAGTTTTAGTATTGATTTGTAATGGTCTAAATACTTATGGTGGAACCAGTTTTCTTATAGTTGTTTAAATTTTAGAACAGTATATTGCTATTATGAAAAGACATGTTGCTATTGTGAAACTAATATGGTGTTATATTTATATTTTTATGAAATTAAAGTGTTATATATATTTTTTTGTTATTTAATTATGTAAATCTGTGGTCTTAAACCGATCTAATCCGTATTTAAATGGATTGATTCGGATTGGTTCCACGATTTAAATGGAATTGATTGGTTCTAATTTTTCATGAACTATAGATAACAGATTCGTCCTGATTTTACCCCAATCTGATTCAATTCGAACTACGCTCACCCCTAATTGGATTAACCGTTGTCTTGCCTTTTTGGTGAAAAGGAAACAACAAAGATATCTGTTTAGTTGTCAGTTTTCTAAAATACTACTAAAATTTAATTTGGTAAAACTAGACATTATAAAAAATTATTTTTAAAAATTTTAAAAATTACTTTTATATAAATAAGAAAATAATATAAAAAGGTGTGGTTCATTAATCTATTAAGAATGAAAGTAAATTTTGAGAATTTTTAATACCAGTGTTTATTTTTGTTAAATTAATTTTATTTTTTTTGAAAAATATTTTGAAAACATAACCAAACAGAGAGATTATTTCATTTTAATTTTTTTATTAAATATATTTAATATTAGTCTAGTTGTACAGGTATCATCGATATCTTTTTAATAGTATTAATTCTATAAAAATTGGATTAACATTTAAAAAACTATATATGTTTTATCAAAAAAATAAATAAAAAGTAAAACAAAAAAAAAATGTAGAGAGAGATGTAGGTATACAAGTGTGTGTTGTGTGAAGTGTATGCAAGGTAGAGAGAGAGAAACGTATACATATAAAAACGTGTGCATGAGGCGAGAGTAGTGTGAGTGGTGAGGACAAAATGGTAAATGTAACTCTAAATTTCATCTTTATCATTTGTTGTGTAATTTTAGAAAGCATCCCACCAAATGGTAAATATATTTTTTCTTTTTTTCACTATTTTGTGTAATTTTCCTAATAATAAAGCTTTCATATTTGAAATTGACAAGATTTGACATGTTATGTGGCTATTTTTTTTTTCCAGTGAAATTTTTGTTGAATTTGAAAGTATTTCACAAGACAGACAAGATTACGATAAAAAATTAACAGGTATTAGTGATATGTATGTCTAACAAAAGGAAGACAATGACCGGATTAAATTTATATCAGAAATTCAAAACTCATAAAATGTTGGCAGCAATTAATTTAGATAAGAGTCTTCTTTTTTTTGGGCTAAAAATAGGAGGTGCATTGAAAATTCCTAATAGCATTAAACTCCTCATTGACTACAAAATAATCTCAAAAATGTATATATACCAAGATCCATATGGGAGTATATATCTCTTCCCAAGAAAATCTCTCTATATTTTGATTTGAAAATCAAAACGTTTAATCTTATTATCATCCTCAAATGCCATATATATTCATTTGGTGAAACACATCTCAAGTTTCAGCATAATCATGTGGTTTAAGGATCTTCATCTCAAGCTCAAGGTAACTCTCTCTCTCTCAAAATCTATATATACATGTGAGTGTACACACACACTATTTACATGGGTTGGAGAATTAGAAGATTTGATTAATGGAGTTTTAGAATTATGGTGAATTTTTCTAGGTACACCCCAAAAAGCACCTTAAAAGCAAAATTTTAACAACATAACCAATCCAGTTATATATATTATTCAATAATTTAGGAGCAGCAAGCATGAGTTTCTTCAAGCCTGTATTTGATAAAAACATGAGTTTGGTTAAGATAAAAGTGATTGGAAGTGCAAAAAAGCAAAAATTATCCACAGTTTTTATTTTTTTGGATCATGGAGTTGAATAGTCTTTGTATTGAGTGGGCATGCCATCAAGTATGGATCCTCCAGAGTAATTTTTCATCATAAAGTGATGTGTTGTTGTATGATCACTCTAGAAGATCCATGCTGCCATACGATCACCATGAAATTCTCAAAATACCAAATATTTACAGAAGAAAAAGAGAGAAAATCAAAACTTTTCCTAAATTTGTCAAGTATGAGAGTGATTGAAGCAAAATTTCTTGTACAATCCATGTCGACATGATAGCTTGGCTTTCAAGTTCTTTAGAAAAATACAGGATTTTTTTTTTCTCACGAAAATAACTAATTTTCTTACGAAAATTCTTCAATGTTTTTTGCTCTTCCAAGTTTATTTTTCTTGTTTCTTGTTTTTTTTAGATGTTTCCTTCATTGTTTTTCGAAGCCACTTACAATTTATATAACTAGACTGCAGATCACTAAAATGTTAATTAATTTTTTATTGGACGGCTCCAAAACATTGTTCATTATGTGATGATATATATTTTTTTTATTTTCTTTTGTTACTTTCTATTTTGTGTGGTAATTTTGTTAATGAATTGGGCAGGCATTTCGAGTGAGAAGATTTTTCAATGGAGATGTGTCAGGTAATGGAAAAAGAGAGACTGAGTTTCGAAAGAGGCCTTCATGGATGGTGCCAGTGTCACACGGTTATGTAGATGATCGCTAATGATGAGCCCCACTTGAAAGTTGTGGTGCAGAGAGAGCAAATTGAAGATCTTGAGTTGTCGTTTTTTGAAGTTTCCAATGCCAAAATTGGAGATGCAGTCACCAAGTACATGCAATCACGTCTGTTTGATAGAAGCCCAAAGAGGCAAGTATATGCTGAAGAAAAAGCTTTGAGATTAAATTTTTTATTAAAAAAAAAAATGTTACAGAAGGTCCTAATTTTTTAAAGGTCCAATAAGATGAGATCCCATTTTGGATATGTAGAATTGCTCATCCACATATATGCAAAAATGTTTGACAGCCTAAGTTGAGGAAGAAGAGCAAAGAAACTCTGACAAAGGCGTATCTGGGCGCAAGAGTGAAGATCAGGGAGGCAGAGAAAGCAGAGGAGACATGGAAAGTGGGCTCAGCATCTGCCATAATCATCAATGGGGAGAGCTTGTGATGGCCAACATGGGTGAATACAGAGCTGTTGTGTGCAGAGATGGTGAAGCTCATCCGATCAGTAGGAGGCAACAACAAGGTACCAAAAGACACTGGTTTCTCAAATTCATTCCAGGCATGCAACTCTCTCCCCCACTCCAATTATATCAATTATATATTACGTTTAAAAAAAAAGAAAAAAGAAAAAGAAAAGTGAATGAAATAGAATTTTATTTTATTCTGCTTATTAAGTGTCATATGCATGCCTAAAGTGCGCACATCTAAAAGCTCAGAAGTTGTGGTTGGAGAAGAAAGAATAGACTCTGATACAGAGTTTGTAATCTCCTCATTGACTTCAAAACATTTCAAAAATGTATATATAACCAAGATCTATATGGGAGTATATCTCTTCCCAAGAAAATCTCTCTATATTTTGATTTGAAAATCAAAATGTTTAATCTTACTATCATCCTCAAATACCATATTTATTCATTTGGTGAAACATATATATCTCAAGTTTCAGCATAATCATGTGGTTTAAGGGTCTTCATCTCAAGCTCAAGGTAACTCTCTCTCTCTCTCAAAATCTATACATACATGTGAGTGTACACACACAGTATTTACATGGGTTGGAGAATCAGAAGATTTGATTAATGGAGTCTCAGAATTATGGTGAATTTTTCTATGTACACCCCAAAAAACACCTTAAATGCAAAATTTTAACAACATAACCAATCCTGTTATATATATCATTCAATAATTTCGGAGCAGCAAGCATAAGTTTCTTCAAGCCTGTATTTGATAAAAACATGAGTTTGGTTAAGATAAAAGTGATTGGAAGTGCAAAAAAGCAGAAATTATCCACAGGCGTTATTTTTTTTGGATCATGGAGTTTAATAGTCTTTGTTATTGGGTGGGCATGCCATCGAAGTATGGATCCTCCAGAGTAATTTTTTATCATAAAGTGATGTGTTGTATGATCACTCTAGAAGATCCATGCTGCCATACGATCACCATGAAATTCTCAAAATACCAAATAATTACATAAGAAATTAGCAGAAATTAGCGCATGTTTAGGTTTCTGATAGACATCTAGTGATGTACTCTTAGATGCTCTGTACACTAACCATTTCAATGTCTGATTTTTGTTTGCTACTTAAATATAACTACAAGAGTTCATAGTTTCACATGCTTAGTTAACTATGAGACAAGATTCAATGCAGTATAAAACAATTTTGGCAAAGGAAAAGTGGATTTGAATGTACAATAAAAACTGTCTTATCAATTACTGGTTTGTGTTGGTCGTCGTTTGTTCCTTTGACAGAGCTTAGCGCAAGTTTTGTTGGCAATTGTTTTCGGGTTTTCTGTGAGGATGCCAACTGAGCAGTTCTTGCTGCAATTCTCTTTTCCCTCTCCATCTTCAAAGTTTCCAGTCGCTTGCGATATTCCTCTTCCTGTAAAAGAAACAACTTGAAGATATAAGAAGTCCATTGGAATGACAAACATGCTAAGCTGGCAAAAGAAAAATTGCACTGTAACTATAAGAACATGAAGCTAAAGCCAAAGGGCATCTTCTCACTGTGTTGTAGAGTGTTGAAGTATAATAAGCAACGTACCTTGTTTTTCTTCATTTTCTGGATATCAGCTTTGAAAGCTCTTAGTTTTTCAGCACGAGCTCGTGCATCTTCCAAAGGACGCATTTTTGAAGTTTTCCCTTTTCTTATTGGTCCCACAGTCTTCTTATCTAAAGCATCTTCAACTTTTGACTTCCGATCCTTGTCTGACTTCTTGGACCCTTGCTTGACATCTTCTTCAACTTCCTTATTTCTGTTATCCAGTGAAGCAGCATCTTCAACATGAGCCTGCATTTCATAGTCCAAAGCAGGGTCATATCCAGTAGTCATTTTTTCTGTCCCGCATTCAGGCATGAAGCTCAAATCATCTGGCTCATAGTTAATTTGGTTTCCAGTCCTATTAGAACTATATTCTGACCTCTGCATTGTTGAAGGAAGCTCAGAATCCATGTCAATAGCAGTTCTAACGTTAGTTCCAACATGATCTAGTGACATTGACTGGAATGGAACTATGAAGGATTCATCAATCATATCTTGTGGTGAACTCCCATCCAAATTATTGGTGGCACGCGTGAATGCAAAAAACTATTGAGGATGGCATCGCAAGGGCAAATACTTTCAGGTTGATATCATATGACAGGTTAGTTTGTAATATAAACTAAATTGTTGTTATTATGTTGTCAAGTTAAGTACACCTAAAAACATGAACTTGATTAATTTCTATTACAATTTTCTAATAGGCCACGCCGCGTGTTTGAGGTGCAAACATCTTTTTACCATGGACGAGGTCGCAATACACAAATTGTGCGGATGAATCAACCCACATGCAGTTGTGGGAAATATTTGTATGGACAATTGTTGCATTGGCATTACTAAAATCTTGCATGTCATGAAAATTGGTTTGAAAATTGGAACTTTCATTGAGAATGAAGTATTGTGATTGAAATTATGGAAATGTTATGGGGTAAATACGTTAGTAAGTCTGGTTAGGAGGTGTAGTTGAATTGGATAAGTTGGCCTGAGTATCCGAGGTGAAAGACCGAAAACACGCGCGGAGGAGGTACCACTTCCCTTCCGGTTAGCAACTAGTAAAGTAGGGTTATTGGTAGTGCTTGTTGAGTCTACTTGCAGACACCAACCTAGGGATTACCCAAGTCGTATTTACCGCCCCCTATGATTAAAATTGGAAGTTTTGAAATTGTGGAGATTGCAAACTATTGTTGAAAGCGTGGAAATTTTCAAAAAAGCATGTAAATGAAATTTTCTTTAATATTGTAACAACTCTCGCTTTATCTTGGTCATGCTCACATGCATACACATGAATTTGTTTTGTTAAGTTGCATTTGCAGACCTTGATTTGTTTTGTCTAAGTGTTGCTTGCATGTTTTGTTTCTCGCTTGGTGTGTGTTAAGCCGAGGTCATCTTAAGCATAGGTCACACCTCTAAACCTCTTATACCTAGGACCATCTTGGAACCACTTTGGTTGACCTCCATCTTCACCCTGGCATATTGGTCGAGATGCCATCATCTAGGCCGAGATGTTATCATCTAGGCATCTAACATCCTTGAACCTTGCCCCTAGTGATCTTGTTCCTGGACTGGTATGACCTAGACCGAGGTGTGGCACATCTAGGCCGAGGTGTGGCACAGGCCAAGTGTTATCCTTCCTAGCCGAGATCATTGAGACCTTACTTTCCAAAGCCTTTGTCCTAATCCGAGATCATTACCTGCCGAAGTGCCCATGTCACCTTGCTTGTTGTATACACTTTGTCATGCTCTTGTCTTGTCAGTCAGTCACCTTTTGAGGAGAGCCAACCAACCGTTGCCACGTGTCCCAGCAGAGGGTTAAGTCAGCTGGTAGTAGAGAAAACATATCTTTTGTCATATCTTTGTTCTAGGAAGAGAGAGAAGCTCTAGGAAGAGATGAAGAGGAGTTCTTAAAGTGAGAATAGATTTCCAAGCTTGATCTTCACACCTTAAGCCGTTAGATCCGCGTTTTGAGGTTAGAATCTTGTTATGCTCTTGTTGTTCTACATGTTCATCTAATCACATTGCATGATCTAGCATTATTCATGAGCCATGCATTGATGTAAAGCTTGTTTTAGAAAGAGAAAATGATGTTCTTGTGTTTTTGAAATAAAGCCATGTTTTGATCCGAAAGCTTGTATCAAGATCCATGTTTTTGTGTTTGTTTTCATAAGATCTTCAAGTATGGGCACCCAGGTCCATGTTTTCGAACTCATCTCATGAAATCTCAGATTTTGAATAAAGAAGTTAAGATTTTAGCATTCATGTCCGTCATGTTCATGTTCTTCATGTTCTTCAAAAAGAAACCCAGAATTTCCAGACTCCATTTCCCTGAATGTGGTCATCGGGACCATACCTCGGTGAAGAGGTGTGGGACCTCGGCCAAGACCTCGTTGGTACCCAGAATGTTTTCCCGAGATGAAAAGACAGTGTTTTAACCCCCAACATGTTTTGCTCTGGCTTGACTTAGCTTTGAGGGAATGACGAAATCATTTGCACTCATGTAAAGCTTGTTTTAGGAATGCATTTCATATCCATCTTTAAGCATCTCTTCTTGTCGTCTTGAAATGCATTCAATGGGATTTATTATGTACTTGTAGGCCTTGGATCCTTGCTTGAAATCCCCACACCCGAAGAGCTATGTGAGTGGTATTTTTAATAAAGCTATGTTATAAAGTTTTGATAAAGCCTTGCTTGTTTTGCTTTGGAAAAGTATTTGTTCGTGTATGAATGATTATCCCTAGTTTTTGTATCAAGTATTATCTTGTTTTGATGACATTCTTGGAAAGTCCTTAGTGCTAGGGGACTATAATGCAACTGGCACCCTTGTTTGAGATATCTCCCTTGCCACTGACGGCCTTGTGCGGGTGGGTTTGTCTAATCGATTCCGAGTCGATTATTCCTTTGTTTTGTCAAGAATGTCATCCCTTGTATTATATTGATGCTAGTAAGCATCCCTTGAAGCTTTGAAAGATTTGATAGATGAACTTGGTTCATCCCTTGATTTTGTACAAGTTATTATATGTATTGTTTTGACAAAGATCTCGGTTATCATTCATTCAAACCTTTATTAACTATATCATTCACTGAGTATCCAAGCTCACCCTCTCTGTATATATATGTAGGTGACGAGCAAGAAGGTGGTGACGCCTAGATGATTATTTGCAAGTTGTTTGGATTCACATTTTGTAGCATCTTGAAGATTATGCTCCTTGGCTTGGTCATTGTAGATCATTTTGTTTATGTCGGCTTGAGAAGCCTTTTGATCAAGATGTAATATGTATTTATTTTATTTGTACTCAAGTTGTAAAATCACGTTATGTATGACATTTCATTTGATCTATGCACAGCTCTTGTGGACTATTTAGATTTAAATTTATTGCTTCCGCACATGTAAGCCCCATATGTATACTCTGATTTTGTATGACTTTGTAAGTTGGCCTTCGGTAATCTCTGATTACTGGCCATCATGGCACCATTCTACTAGGGCCGGAATGGGGTCATGACAAATATGGCATTACATGGCATTTGCATTTAATATCGGAATTATGCATAAATGTATATACTTTGTTAAGGATTCTCTGCTGGGCTTTATGCTCACCCTTATGGGTTTTTGGTGCAGGAAAGGACGTGGTGAACCCGCCAAATTAGGGCGTGGAAATATGTTTTGAGAGGACAAGGCTCTTTGTTGTGATTGTAAATTTTTGTAAGCCAAGGGCTAAACATGTATAGGTCCGAGACATCATTTTGTGCAACCGGACTTATGCCTTGGAAGATGTAATGCCTTAAGGGCATTTTAATTTCTTGAGACTAGGTGTTTCACATGCTATAGATTCATGTGTTTTCATACCATTGAATGTATATTCGCATGTGAGACTTTTTTATAAGCTTGTTCATTAATCATGTAAAGGTAGAAGGATTATTGTCATTATTTGGCAAATGTTAGTTGTTGTGAGTCATTTATGTTGGTTTATTTTCGGAGCGTTACAGTTAAGGGCTTCGCTAACCCTAGCGCTGCCACCATATCCATTGGTTGTGACAGACTATGCATTTGCCCTAGAAGCTAATCGTGCGTTTCAGGCACATTGGTCAAGTGATTTCACAAAGCCATTAATCAACAAGTTAGATCATCCGATTGAGAAGATAGTGGAAGGAAACAACTATGGCGATGATGGATTCAATTGGAACGGGCTTGATTTAACCTTAAGGCTCTAGATGTTCGAAATTTCTATGTTATTACTGCATCTTTGTCCTAAATCTTTGGTTTTCTTTAATTGTTTGTTTCTGCATTTGTTTTCTTTGTTTAGTTTGTTGGATGCAAGATCTTATATCGTTGTAATCCTTTCTATATTTGTTATGAGTGTTTGAAATAAAGTTTATTCTTCATTTTGACATTGCGACTGAATTGTATAAGGTTAATTTGTGTCATTACCCTTCTACCACCTGGAAAAAGATGTTATTACATTAATCTCACACTGTATCATTAACTAATTTCACATTTACATGAATGGGTAAATTACACCGATTTGTCATTAAATTTGATAAAAATCGCATTTATGTCCCTACAATTCCAATTTCAACGGTTACAATATCGATGCAGACCTGTACACATTGACGCAAATTTGATTTTACAGAGATTTTGTAAAGAACGCATGTTTGGAGAGATGAAAATAAAGTGAAATTACTAATTAAATTGTTCCCTTAAAACACATATGCATGTGACATACAAGTGATCATTCTCCATCACTAAAACTATAAAGACTATGGTTATAATTTACGTTGTACACATTGTGCTACATTGAAAGCACACCTATAATAAGATCCGACAAAGCAATTTGAGTAAATTAATCAGAAAAATGGTATAGACAAAATTTTAATGTGGTTTCCGAACCTTTTTTTGGTTTTTGATGTAAAGGAATCGCACTTTGGTCAGTTGTGTATAACATTAACAAAAAATTCCAAAACCCTGGCAATTTTGACAAATAAAACATGTTTTGAAGTGTATAAAATATATACATATATATTTTTTTACTTTCTTGTTTATATTACTCAAATTTGACAATCTAAGAATAAAATTATGTCTAGTTCTTGTTTTTTCATGTTCTTTTTCCTTCTCTATCTCGTACTTTACTTTCCTAAATGTTGTACGATACAAATGTTGTTAGCAATTTTAGATTGAATGTTGGAATGTGTTAGGACTAAAGAATCAGCACATCAATTTACATTGCATATATCATTCTAATAATATGACAATAGGATTTCAAATTAAAATTGTTAACTTTTCAATTGTAGCACGATCCATTTAGACTTTGTTTTAATTTACAAAACAAAACTTTAGCACTTCTCGTGAGGAAGGAATTAGGCAATGAAAACTTGAGTGACTCTTGGATAGCATGTAGAGGTGATAGAAAATTGAGAGGCGAAAGAATGGACTAAGACGAAGACTTGACTTACTGAAAACCACTCAAAACCCAACTCTTATACATGTTAAAGCATCTAATTAAAAACCAATTGATAATAAGCATAATGGTTAGTATGTGGAGTATGA